ATTTGTTTCACGGTAGCCCCGAGTTTCAAATCCTCGGCCATGCTTGTAATATAGCCAACTGGTTTGCCTTCAGCCAGTTGGGATTCGTAACAACGTTATTTTCAATTTGAATTATTTGTTTAAGTTGTTTCGTGGAAAACCTGTAAACTAGCTTCTAGCTAAGTGTTTCTCCACGTTAAACTGTTTATTATTATTATTATTAATATTAATTTCATTGATCAATTTACTTTAGAGATTTGCTGTTATACTTTACAAAGGTAATTACAGTAACTGAGCTGCAGTTCTTGAATTTAAATTTAAGTACAGTCTGCACCACACAACTAACCTGGGAAGTTTGTTTTTTCATCCCAAAACAAGTTAGTACACCATCATGATCAGCAATTGCAACCTGGAAGTCAGTTAAACAGAAAAATGCTATATTAAGATAAGGAAGAAAAGGTACAATGACATAAAGATTAACGTTCCTAGTTATGACTGATTCGTACGTATGGTCTTAAGCTTTCCTTTCCAAAGATCGAAAACTCACTTTTAATCGCAAAGCTCATCAGCCAAACAGAAAAATCGCAGTTAAATTCATGCAAAACATACAACACAAAATCAAAATACATAGAGACTTGTTTTGTTTGGAAATCGATGAAACTGGCTCGATCTTACACTGCAGTAACGAGAACGACCAACTCCATTTATTTTCCAAACTATGTTTAACCTTCTGAGCGCTCCGTTTTCCACCACTAGACAACAGCTTCATCGTCTTAGGAGACGTGACACCAACCTGGAAAGGAAAGTTCATTCATTTCAGTCGGGATAAATTAATTTCTAAGTGCAAAGCTTGGTATCCAAGGAAGCCATAAACATCGTCTCCACCTGTAAGTAGTCTAAGCGTGTTAGGTTTAGTTCCATCATCTTGAAAGATCGGTTTTAAGGTTCATCAACGTTCAGATGGTTTATCCGTGTTTTTTGGAAAATTTCTGATCTTAAAGAAACCCTAGTTTGCCAAAGAAATGACACTCGTCTTGCTCTTCTTTCGGTAAATCTTTCAAGCCCGGCTGTAGCCTGCGAACAGGCTCCCGGCTAGTGTTTTTGGTCAGCTGAGAGCCAAATAGGAGTAATCTTGATGTACTATTCAGAAACTGTCTACTTATTTTTGGGTGAAAGTGTGGTCCTTGTGTCGGTGTAGTGGGGGCATAGCGTAGCTAACAATGGTGGGGGTAACAAAGTAATTTGGTTATGTCAACTACAGTTGAAATTGTAAATTGGCCACCGTTAAGAGTTAAAAAGCTGACGTTTCGAACTCTGACGAAGGGCTGAGGCTCGAAACTTCAACTTTCTAACTCTTTACGGTGGCCAATTTACAATTTCAACTTAATAAATTATTTATTTTTGGGACATATCACTCAATCCTTTTGGGACCTTTGGAATTCTGAAAAGGAATTACGAAGGTGTCAGCAAAGTAATACGAGGTAATTACATGTGACTTTACGGCCTTTAAGGCTAATTCATTATTTAACCTTTTTTGTTCCTAATCTTGTAAACCGGTTCTTAACGTATAGACAGTTCTAAGAAAAGACGGATCAAAATTTAAGTCGGGCAAAGGGGAGGAATATATTTAACAAGCGTATCATTTTGAAATTTCAAGCGGGTTTGGATTTGTAGGAGTAAAGTATTTTGAAGCCTGTCACGAAAAGACATCTTACGTTTGAAAGGTCTGAAGTAAGCCGCACTTCTTTGATTCGGGAAAATTACCTAAACTTTCGCATTCGTGACTAGAATTGTGCTTTCTGGCACTGGAAAGTGAAGCAAAATTAGGCGACTTCCGCAACAGCCTAACGATATTTTTTCATTTTAAAAGCCTTAGTCATACGAGTCGAATTTATCCATCGTCTTTCAAGTGGAAATTGTCCAATACTTTTTTTCTCCTTTGTATGGAGTTTTACGATTGCTTAAAATAAAATTGATTGTTTAAGATTCAGTTGTTCAAATTGAAGCCTAGTTTGTTTTGTTTTCCGGCGTCCACAGGACAAGTCGGCACACAAAATGTGTGTGGTTTTTTCTTCACTCCTTTAGGATACTCATCCCTGCTATTATGCTAACCACACTTTCATTCTCTTCAACAGCCCTTATTTTGACAATGACTGCGCGCTTTACATTGTGAAACAGCAATTCCCTGCTTACAATCCGTTTACAATTTACTATAGTGAAATAAACAGATCACCTTGCGTTATATTTTGTTTTGAGAATCGTTTCTTAATTTTTGGCATGTCTTGCATAAGGTCTATTTAAGGGACTTTTTGATTTCGACTGTACCGCTGGTTTTACAAAAATGGCCGGGGACGGAGAAAGTTAAAAGGTGTCTGGAAAAAAAAAGAAAAACAGCTTTAAACTTTTGAACTTAGGTTACTGTATAACTTCGATTTGACACTGTGTTACATGTAACAATGCCACTGAATTTACGAAGACGAGCTTAATTATCTTGTAACGGGAACATTGTACTGAACGGTTGTTAACAGCTGTCAGAAGTTTGGCG